ATGTGTGTGTGTGAGTGTGTGTGTGTGTTATTTTTATTTTACTTTAAACGTTATCTTTGATGGATAATCATATTCGAGTAGAAGCCCTGTTTGTTTTCATTTGATTGGATCTAACGTGCCTTACCGCTCGGTCATGTAGGACTTACGGTCAAGCAAAGACCGAATAGTGCCTTTTGAACACACATATCTCTGCCGATTCTCGAATGACGATTCCCCATAAGGGATGCAGGTTCGAATCCTGCCGGAGTACGCATATTTTTCTGACAAGATTTCTCGAATATTCAGGCCCGTAGGTGTAGTTGGAATATAAATATTGTTTAATTAAAAAAAACAAAAAAAACAGAGCTTCTACTCGAATATGAGTATCCATAAAAAATAACGTTTAAATAAAGTAAATTAAAATGAGAATATGTCGGATTTAATCCATTTCCTAAAAATAAATAGTCTTTGGATTACATTAGGATATAATACAGAGCGCAGATATGGATGATGAAACGTGAGTCAGTACTAATCCACTTATTATTTATATTTTAAATACGATTTGATATTGTTTTGCACGTGTATCTGTATTAAGTATTTTTTAAATAAATTCCACAAAAATCCATTGAAACATTTTACTCTCATAGTTTCAATAAGGTATTTTCTTTTGGCTTTATATATATATATATATATATATATATATATATATATATATATATATATATATATATATCAGGTTTATTTTGTTAATGCGAGATTTTCAGTTGTCAGAACGCCCAACTAGTATGGCCTTAAACTACATTAAGATAATTTTTTTTTAAGTAAATATGCATCATTGTACATCTTATCTCCAAAATTACTTATATATGGTTTGGAGCCTATGAAGGTTGATTCAGAGAATAACTGCAGGATGATAATGAGGAGTGTGTGCAGATTTAATTCATTTGACGAATTTTTCTCTATCAGTTTTTGTGACATGCCAGGGATGAGATCACCTGTCAAGATATGTGGCGATGGGCCAAATGCGGTGACTTTGGAGTAATGCCCAAACTATTAGTTTGAAGCAGAGAAAACCTCAGACAGAATCTGAATTCAGTTATTATATTTTTCGTTCGTTTCATTCGTTCCTTTCATCCATTCTTTCTTGCGTCCTTTCCTTCTTCGATTCGTTCATCTTTTGAACGTCGCCTTCTTTTAACCTCTTTGCTCTTTCTCTTATCGTTTCTATCGTTCATTCAAGTACTTATTTCTTTTTTTATTCATTCCTTCCTTCGTTTATACCTTTTCCTTCCCTTCCTTCCTTCCTTTCCTTTCCTTCCTTCCTCCTTCCTTCCTCCTTCCTTCCTTCCTCCTTCCTTCCTTCCTTCCTTCCTTCCTTCCTTCCTTCCTTCCTTCCTTTCCTCATTCCTTTCCCTTCCTTCATTTCCTTCCTTCCTTCCTTCCTTCCTTCCTTCCTTCCTTCCTTCCTTCCTTCCTTCCTTCCTTCCTTTCCTTCCTTCCTTTCCTTCCTTCCTTTCCTTCCTTCCTTTCCTTACTTCCTTCATTTCCTTCCTTTCCTTCCTTCCTTCTTTCTTTCCTTTTCCTTCCTTCCTTTCTTCTTTCATTCCTTCCTTCCTTTCCTTCTTTTCCTTCCTTTCCTTCCTTCCTTCTTTCCTTCCTTCACTCATTTATACCTTTCCTTCCTTCCTTTCCTTCCTTCCTTCCTTTCCTTCCTTCCTTCCTTCACTCATTTATACCTTTTCTATCTTTCCCTCTTCCTTTATTCCCTTCATCCTATCTTAGTCCAATCCTAAAAATCTTGAACGAGGAAAGTCACTTGGAAGTGCTTCACCTTATAAAGAATTATTCGATTATTATGAATATTAAATATACATGAAAATATACAAATCCTTCAGAGTATAATCGATGGGAATCAATAACATGGAGGATTTATCGATATAAAGTAAGTTAATCATTTTAAGAATAACAACAATTGCTGTAACCGGACAAACATAATCGATCAGAATTCTTTCAGATCGATAAAAATCAATGTGAATTGCAGGTCGAATACCAATTCACTAGATTCAAACGGCAAAAGGAACAACGCCCGTCCCAAATGTGGAAACATGAGAAAACCTTGAGCCAAATTAGAAACACTTTCTTTGCAAAAAAAGACATTTTATTATTGGAAAACAAACTGACATTTTATCTTCATTAACTAAATTTCCTGGGCCACTTTTGGGAAATTGGCAGCGAAACTTGGTCGGTAAGCTGCTAAAAATGCTTTTTACCTGTGAGGAAAGATGTTAAAATGACGTGTGTTCATCTCATATGATTCTTATATATTTATAGCAGTCTGTTCATATCTATCTATCTATCTATCTATCTATCTATCTATCTATCTATCTATCTATCTATCTCTATAGAATTGACTTTATTGTGAAAAGCGAATCATTTTCTTCCACTCTCCTCTAGCCGGCAACTATCCTCTCCAGGAGCATGGCCTATCTGCTTGATTAAACCATGGGCACCCAAAGGAATCTGGTCCTTATGAGCATCAGAGCTCCAGATTTCTCTACTGCCACAACCGTACAGCCCTTGTTTCGCGCTTTTTTAATCTTTTATCAAAACTTAAATAAGAAAATCCATTCCTGTCAAGATTATAAGAAAGAAGACTCTGCAATGTTATCGATGCTGACTTGGTATCTTGATCCCTTCACTTCCCACCGTTGTGACCTGACTTCCCTCTGTCTTTTCTGGAAATATCTTCAAGAAAATTGTTCTACTGGGCTTTCCTTCTTGCTACCTCGACTGCATGAATTTAAACGTACAGCTACGTGTTACCGTTTTAGAGTTGAAAGATATAAAATTAACCGAATCTTCTATTCTATTCTCGCACTTCTCGCCTGTGGAATTCTCTTATGGTTTGTTGTTTCCTTGCCACCTACAATCTTCAAAAGTTTAAATCCCACGCCCCCCCTAAAAAAAAAAAAAAAAAAAAATGACCCAAGATTGCCAATAGTTAAAGACGACATTTGAGCTATTATTACAGCCTAGGTAGTGAGATGGGTGCACGTGAGTGTTTACTTTAAATCAATCACTCTTACCTTTTGGTCATTGGGTGATACCAACGACGAGTGAGATTGTTAAGACCTCTGGTGTTGTCAGGCAAAAGTGGATTCATGCCTTTAACAAAAGGTGATAGTAAGAATTGAACAAAAGCAGCCTCAGCCGAGGTTCAAACTTAGTTCATAGTTTAATACTTTCTGTGTTGGTAATCATTGCACGAGCTTCTAAGAAAGAAAATGCAAAAGAAAGAGAAGAAATGAAACAAAGAGAAAGAGAGAAAAAGAGGAAAAAGAAAGTAAGAAGGAAGCATAGTTAAAAAAGAAAATAAAAAAGGAAAACTAAAAAGAAATGAAAGTGAAAAAGAAATCAAAAGAAAAGTGAGCAATCAGAAAAGTTAGAAAAGCGAAAAATAAAAAAAAAATGGAGGAAATGTGAAAAATATATGAAAAAGGAAATGAAAAATAAAAAAATGAGGATGAAAGAAAGAAAAGTGAAAAAGAAATTGAGGGGGAAAGTAAAACGATGTCAAAGAAAGAAAAGTGAAAAAGAAAGAAAAAAATGCGAAGTAAAACAGATATGTATGGATCCTCTTCTCCCCCAGCTATGGGTAAATAGCAGGACAGACCGGGTTCTATAGCCTTGGATGACAACTCACATACCACAGAAAGACATGGCAACCTACTGTGGGGGAAAAAATTTGCCATGTCAGTCATGTATCGAATGATTGCCTAAGTGTGTATCATGTATGGCACATAACTGAACTTATTGAAGAGATTTGAAAAAAAGATTTTAAGATGCATTGATTGTACATAAAAATATTTGAGCACATTACAGAAAATAGAATAATAACTTCATGAAATTGGCTTTGGCTTTATGAAACTTGAAGAAAGCATTCCATATTTAGTGTAGGACTGTCAAAGAAACTCATATTAGACAGAATGATCCTACCATAATGGCTGTATGGCAAGATTTAAGCAGTTGTAGAATAAAAGTAAATTTCTAATAAATCTTGGTATTTAGGACTCTTTTTTTCCCTTAACACTGGTTCTACAGTTTTTTCTCAAGCAGGTAGCTTGCAATATTCTATTAACATATTTATCTTTGTTAGTAGAGCCATAAATTTGTATCATGAGAATGAAAGATCTTTAAGGAATCATTGTATCTGTTGTTAATATCCTCATAAGAGTTAATTTATTTTCTCATTTTTATTGTAATTTGTCGGCTATATCTGAAAAAGTGAAAACTAAAGAAATGCGAAAAATAGAGAAAGAAAACTGGAAAAAGAAAGAAAGGAAGAAAATTGGGAAAAAAAGTAAAGAAAGAAAAACAAACTAGAAAAGAAAGAAAGAAATGTGGAAAGAAAAAGGAAAGAAAGAAAGAAAGAAAATGGGGAGTGAAAGACAAAAAGAAAAAAAAAGAAGAAATTATTAGTTTTAAAATACAAAATCGGCATTTGGCCGCGTCTATGCCGAAGTAAATCTCGTTTGACGGGTACGATTGGCTCTCTTGGAGCAACGGAAAGACAAAGAACAATTTCGTAAATAAATTGGCGCTGCCTTCTCCGTTTTCATTGGCCTTATTTCTAGAATCACCCAGTTGTTCTGATTGTGAAACTGATATTTTGGCAACAGACAAGAGCAATTAAATGAGGCCCGCGTTGAATATACAAAGATGCGGTCATCTATCTGTTTGGTTGAACTGCTTAAGATATCTGTATACCACTCTGCTGTGTTCTTTGTTGTGTTCTGTTGTTATAGAGTGGGAGAGAGAGAGAGAGAGGGAAGAAGAAGAAGAAGAAGAAGAAACAAAGAAGAAGAAGAAGAAGAAACAAAGAAGAGACAGACGCACAAAAAGACGTTAAAAGTGGGGGAGAGAAGAAAAACAAGAGTGTTGAGAGAGAAGAAGAGAAACAAAAGGAGCTGAGGTAAAGAGTTTGTGTGTGAGAGAGAGAAATAGAGAGAGAGAGTGACAAGTCAGAAAGGAAAATGAGAGGTAAGAAGAAGGAAGGAAAATGCATTCAAAATTGGAAGAGAGAGAAAGCGAGAGAAAGAGAGGGGGGAAGTAGAGGAACAGTAAGAAAAAAAGAGGAGAGATAGAGGCCCAGGGAGTGGGGGGGAGAAGAGAGAATTGACATGCAAGAAAGGAAGAAGAAAGGTTTGGAGATGGAAGGAAACATACATTAAAGAACTGGAAGAGAGAGAGAGAGAGAGAGAGAGAGAGAGAGGGGAGTCATAATAATAGAAAGCGATAGATTCAGAGCTACAAAGAAAAAGACTAAAATATAGACAGAGAGAAAGATGTAGAAAGCGAGAAGGAGGAAGAAAGAACAGAAAATGAGGGAAATGTGTAAAAGGAAGAAGATAAAGGCAAGAGGAGGAGTGAAAAGAGAAAAAACGAGAAGAATAAAATGAGTAAGAGAGAGAGGGGGCAGCAAAAAAGGCAGATTGGAAGAGAGAGACGTTGTGTGTGAGGGAGAAGGAAGAGAGAGTGTGTGTGTGTGTGTGTGTGTGTGTGTGAGGGAGAGGAAAGAGAGACAGGGTAAAGAGAGAGAGGGCTAAAGAGAGAAAGAAGGGTAAAGAGAGAGAGATGGGTAGAGAGAGAGGGCAGAGAGAGAGAGAGAGAGAGAGAGAGAGAGAGAGAGAGAGAGAGAATGTGTTTCATTAATAACATCGGATTTTCCGTGAATTTTATGCAGTCAGTCCACTTAAGTGAGCAGCTGTAAACAATGACATCAGAAGTTTTTTGTACTTTTCATGAAAGGTGAGTCAGATTTCATTGGTCGCTATTTTGCAGAGGGAGTTTTTTTTTTTTTGTGTGTGTGTGTGTGTGTGGGGGGGCTTGGTGGTTATAACAAGAATTACTCTGTCTCATTTAAACATTATAATTACCCCATCTAGCTTTGAAAGGGAATGGATTCATGCCTTTCTCGAGAGCATCAGGGCCATGTGAATATAAACAGCCGCAGTCAACTGTCAATGGGACAGAGCACAGGGAGAAATGAATTCATGCCTTTCCCAAGAATGTCAGCGCAAAGGAACATGAACAACCTCGGCCGACTAACGGTGAGGCAGATCACAGGTAAAAGTGGGTTCATGCATTTTACAAGAGCATAGTTTCACAGACGATCTCAGTAGAAGGTCTGAGGAAATAAGTTATCGTATCATTTATGGCCTGCCACTGGTCTCTGTAAAAATGTGTAACAAAAGCGAGATTAACATATTTTTTCTACTATCACATTAAAAAAAAAAAAACAACGTATGGTGTATTGCAATAATATTTGACCTTTACAGAATAAATAACGGAGAAGTATATTGTATATTTTAACTTAAAATTTTGCTATAAACTCGTTAACTCCCTGCTGTGATACATAAGGTTTAAAATGCATTTTCAAAAGGAAAAATCTTTCTTGAAGTTATTTTAGCTTTAACTCCAAGCTAATAGATTAAATTTAATATTTCCATTTAGCAAAATACTTTGCTGAATTTCATACCGAATTTAAATTGATTGGAATGATTTGGGTTTGATTATTAGTAAAATTGTTCATATTGACAAATCTATCAAAACAAAATAATTCTCATTATTTAAAAAAATAAAAAATAAAGTATACTTTTCTGAATCTTTATTTGAGGAAGATTGACTGATTTAAAGTTTAATCTGAATTAAAATTAATATCATTTACTTTTAAAATATCACAGAAAAACTTTTTTTTTTAACACGAAAGTGGGTGTTTTCTATGAGGCCTTGACGCATCTATCAATAACCTGATGTTTAGGAGATTTATGTTACCCATTTTTACATAGACCAGACCATAAATGATGCGATAACCTCAAACTAAGACATTCTACTCTTGTAAAATGCATGAACCCACTTTTACCTGTGATCTGCCCCATCGTTATTCGGCCGAGGCTGTTCAATGTTCCCTTTGCGCTGACGTTCTTGGGAAAGGCATGAATTCATTTCTCCCTGTTCTGTCCCATTGATAGTCGACTGCGAATGTTTATATTCACTTTGCCCTGATACTCTAGGGAAAGGCATGAACCCACCCTTCCTTTTAAGGGGGGAATAATTGTAGCAAAATTACATGAATACAATGTAAATGCCTTTTTTAAAGTAATTATTTAACTACCCAGTAATCTTAAAAATGTAAACTATTTGAAGCATTCTAATATTTTATTGAATTTTAGGTATTTATCTTTATAGTCTTACTTATGGAGACGCTTTTTGAGGAAAATGTTAGAAATTTAATAAGTTTTGCTATAGTAAATGTTGTGCAGGGGCGTCTGTATTTACAAAAATACACACACACACACACGCACGCACGCACACACACACACACACACACACACACTTACTTATTTTTAAAAGACGACGGGTCGCTTTGCCATTTATGATGAGTAAATAACGTTCTTATTTAATAATAACATCCGGCCTTCTTCAGGTGGTTGAGTGCCTTTATGCACTGTGGTGAGGACACATGGCATAGTGGATAAATACGTTGGTTATATCCAGTGAAAGGAACCAAAGAGTTCAATACCTGGTTAAGGCAGTGGAGAACTTGTGGAAGTGAATTAAAAGGAGAATGTCGAACTGAACCCTTTATTTCGCTCACTGGGGTAGACTGTTCTAGTTCCACGTACCATGTTTAATGGATGTCAGTTATCTCCTGTTAATTCCCTCACACTCTTTGGGTCCTGTCACTGGATCTAACTAACGCCTTTATCCACTGTCAGAATATTAAATTTATATGACAGCTGCAAATTAATGCAGGATTTTAAAATATTTAAAAGATTATAAATTATTCTAATTAAATTAAAACGATTCTTGTAAAAATTCATTATTAATCGAATTTTTTTCCTTAAGACAATAGTTTCCATAAAATATTTTATTGATGGAGCCAAATTAAATGTTAGCTAACGGATTGACGGGTCTCACCGACTTCTTTTTGACGGGGAGGGATCAGCCAGAATAGGAGATGGACTACATTGATTTTTAAAACTATAGCGAAGGCAATGGGAATCCACTCCAATATGTTTATCAAGGAATCATAGCAATTCATAGTCAATAAAGAAAAGGAATCTGTGGAGAGCCATGATCGTCTATGCCTTGAAGTGTCATGATATTAAAATGTACTTGATTATACTGAATTTAAGTTTTTCTCAATTGCACTTTACTTCCCCATGTATATAAAGAGTAAATAAATATAAACAACATAATCTCTTATCACTCACTCGCTCTCTCTCTCTCTCCTCTCTCTTATATATATATATATATATATATATATATATATATATATATATATATATATATATATATATTCAATCCGAGCCGCTATCCATTACACCAGTGCCTCCATAGAGCCGAGTTCGAATCCCAGACGAATCCATTACATTCACTTACGTGTTAATACCCTTGGGAAAAGTATGAATTCTATTCTTCTCCCCACCGGCTATGGGTAAATAGTAGGTTCTATAGCCTTGGATGGCAACTGGTCTAGGAGAAGGACAACTTTGAACTCAAAACTTGTGGGGGGTCGTTTGGGGACCTGGTGGCACACGGTGCACCAGGTCTCTGTATTCGGCTCTTTAAAAATTGTGGTTGGATCTGCACAAAAACCTTCACCACTATAATCAAATCATATGTGCAGGTAGTCTGGTTGTCAATTTCTTGGAACAGAGTTGCTTGACCCTCATACGTCGAAATCGACGGGATATTCCAGTTGATATATATATATATATATATATATATATATATGAAACCATTTTCATCACGTCCATTTCAAACTCTACTGACCGTTAATAAACGTTTCACTGGGTACCTTCCGATTTGTACCTTCCTTAGTGCTAAAATGGTTAGATGAATGAGGTGTGTTGTAGCAATGAAAGATGAGGTGGTCGGAAGTGAAGATTACAATCAACGACGATCAAAACGACTCGAAACATTAGAATTTCGGCAAAATTTCTGGACGTTCATTTCCGAGTACACACGTCTGACGGAGTCCATTTTTGCTGAAGCCTGCTCAAGCACAGAGACAAACTTTGGTTTATACAGCAAATATGCTGAATAGACCTTACTTACAGTTTCGGGGAGAGAGAGAGAGAGAGAGTGACAGTGAAAGTGAGAGAAAGAAAGAGAGAGAGAGATAGAGAGAGAGAGAGAAAGAGAGAAAGAGTGACAGTGACAGTGAAAGTGAGAGAGAAATTGAAAGAGAGTGAAAGAGAGAGAGAGAGAGAGAGAAACAACACATAATCTGACATCTTTAACTGTTCTTTATGTCATTTAGCAAAGGAAATTTCTCTAACTTATCCAAAGTGATAACAAAGTGTCATAAGTACGCCTGCGTTTTTTTTTTTCGTGAATTTCCAAATTTCTCTCTCTTCTGGCTTCCCTTCTAAAAGCAGATTGACGCAAAGAATGGCTGCATCTCCGATCGATTAAAAGACCGACTTTCACGATTGATACGAATCAATACAAATGCAGCATTAATTGTTTGTTTGTGTTGTTTCCATTTTTTTTGGGGGGGGAGGGGGGAATATAAATTCAACATATTTCTTTTGATAACTGCATTTCGGTTGTTCCCTGCCGTTAAAAAAAAAAAAAAAAAAAACAGGGGACGTCTATCTCGATAAACCTGATTTTTTTAGTCATTACACCCCAAGCAAGCCAATAAAGCCACTAAGATGCAAGGTGGTTACTGAGTGCGAGAGAATATAATAAAAGTTACCCGTAAGGAGAGAGGACAATAAAAGAACAAGAAGACGCAAGATAATGATTGACAATGCATTTAAATTTTTGAACATCAAAGTTGGATGTAAATCAAGAAGCCGAAAGAGAGTTCCACAAGCGAGAAGTGCGATAGAAGATATTGTTAGTATAGAACTTAAGATTACATATAGCCATTTCAATTTTAAGATAGTGAGACATTCTAGACAATCTAGTACTGCGCTTAAATTCATAAAATCTAAATACCATGGAAAAAAATTCATCGATACAATTACCATAAGAAGTCTTTTGAGAAATCTTATTTCAAAGTCATTTTAGATATATTTAACGAAGAAAATCCCAATTAATAAAGCCTCGTGTGAATAACTCATAAAACTTAGTTTAGTATTCCAAACGTTTATCCAGATGGGCCATAGAGAAAAAATAGTTTAGCATGACACAAGGTCACAGTTGAAAAGCATAGAGTACTAATCAAAATAATATTGAAGTGATCTTTGTGATGAACTTAGTAGCATTACTTTCGCAATCGCCCTAATCCTTTAGTAAATTAAGTCTGACACATGGTTAGAATCATGGAGCATCGAGTGAAGGTCAAGATAGCAAAGTGATTTTTGAACTTGATAACCAAACATTGCTCTATATCGAGCACCCTATCTATTTACTGAACTTAGTCTGGCACAAGGTAATTGTAATGAGACACACTGTGATGCTCGAATTAGCCATGCTAGAAAATTGATTTGCGATATATGACAGGTGCCTAGACAAGTTAAAATCGCTGAAAAAAGGTGGGGGGTTTCACTTTCAGAAATCGTGAAGCTTTATTTGAAAAGAAACGCTGTTATGAAGTTTCCTGAATCGTATTTGAGAAGGCGTATGCGTCGTGTAAACTTGATCTTAAAACGAAATAGTAATCAGCTTCCAAAGAGCAGCTAAAATCAATTGCAAAAGAAATGTTTTCATGGAACAATTCTTTGGACTTGTAAAAAGAAACGCTTAGCGAATTTTCAGCCTGAAGCAGTTCATCGTTGATACTTGGAATTATGTAAAAGAAAAAAAAGAAAGAAAAGACGTCTTAAAAGAGGAAAAAGAATTCTAGATCGACACCATTGGACAATATTCTGCCTGAGGCGTTGTATTCGATGAATTTCATAAGAATCTCGTAGTTTGTTTTTTATTTACTTATGGTGTTGCTTTTCTATTTTAGAGTCTCAGTATGATATAAGAAGAAATGCCAGGGAAATATTACTTAACTCTCTGCAACAACAACACTAATAAAATAAGATACACAACAAAACGCAAAATACTTTGAAATACCACAAAAAGGTGTAAAATATACGTGTATAAGAATAAATTCAAATAGAATTAAAAAAAAAGAAAGAAAAAAAAGTAAACTCAGTGAAAAAGGCTCCGTGAAAAGAGGGCAAATACTTCCGATATAAATTCGACTTTTAAAAGCAACCGATTTTCGCTCGCTGTGTATGTTGGCCTAATGAATAGGAAAGCAAGTTTTATCAATATTTGCCGAGCGCAAATTTTCCTTTTTCGGCAAATAAACGATCAAGGAGAGAAAAAGAGAAAGAGAATACAGAAAAAGACAACAACATTACATTTTCTTTTACTCATCATATGGTAAATAGATGCCTGTGATTATATGTTTATCTATCTATCTATCTATCTATCTATCTATCTATCTATCTAGCTAGCTAGCTAGCTAGCTAGCTATTAATGCTCTAGCGCACATGGATACACGCACACGCACACACACACATATATGTTTATATTTCTGAGATGATGTCTAGTCTGTTGCCCTGTGGGGGTGGGTAACAGATGTAAAAAGAAAAATTTACTAAGATTTTCTAAAAATAATGATTTCAAAAAATAATTTCATTTATTTGGGAATCAATCCTGAAAGTTTCATTAAAATCCGACAATTATTTCATTTTTGCAAGAATTTCCAAATAAATGTGTTATATTTACCGGGAAAAATGTCACCAAAATACCCATAGTAATCATTGGTTCAATACTGACGCACACACACACACACACACGCAAACGATTTTTAACCAAAATTTTGAGCGTGCTAGAAAGTTTTAAAAATTCAATAATATAATAAAAGATAATTTTTGTCTTCCCTCTTAATAACAATTTAACGATAAAAATTTGACTTTATCAAGTTTTTTTTTTCATCGTGCATGACCTTTTTTAGCGAAAAAGTGGAGGTACCTAAAATGATGGATCGTACAAAGTTGGACAATCCGAGTACGGGTCAGAAATACGTTCCAGTCAGAAGATCAAGATAATAAAAACATGGGGGGATGTAAGAGAACAAAGAAATACGGAAGAGGAGTTGATATCAACACCCCTCTTCACCAACCACTCCATCACCTGTTTCTAGATACTACCCGAGAACAATTTTTTCGACCAAAAACATTCCTCAGTTTCAGAGATTTCGTTTGCAGATCGATGATCGAGTGAAAAGATTTGGAGACTAGCTTTTGAAAACAAACTTTGTTTGCTGACCCGAGATCGATATAACCTGTCTGAATTGTTGACCCGACTACAGGTGACCCTTCCGAGACATTGCTGTTATTGATGCGATATTTTAGAGAGAAAAGCCTTAGATAAGAACTTGCAGTTTGGCTTCTCACTCTCACTAAATGAAAAAAAGCAGACGCTGTCCAGCCGGGAAGATCACTGATGCTAACGACCCTAGCGATAATGGCTGACTTCACAACATCGAAAATGTAGCCCAGGAGTTTGAAATGTATGATCAATGCGGGCAGAACAGAACTCATCTGCCTGAATCAAGATACATCGATAGGCATGGAAAGTCTGAACAGGGAAAACATCAAGCAAATAGACAACTTCAAGTACATGGGTAGCTATATTGCCTCTACTGAGAATGATCATCATCCGACTGGGAAAAGCCTGGGGAGAGCTTAATGAAATGAACAAAATCTGGAAATCAAATCTACCAGACAAACTGAAGAGAAACTTCTTCAGAGCTACAGTAGAGCCCATCCTTGTATATGGCTCCTTAACCGGAACGCTAACAGCCAAACAAGAAATGAGGTTAGGTGGTGCTTACGCACGAATGCTGCGAGCGGCACCAATCCTGAAAATATTAGCCAACAAAGAAAAAGCTCTATGGCAACATACCTCCTATCAACAAATTAATAACCCAACAAAGACTAAGATTTGCTGGTCACTGTTGAGGTAGCAAAGAACTTGGTGGAGGCGTCCTACTCTTGATACCACCCCATGGAAGAAGATCACAAGGGCGACCAAAGAAGATGTTCATTGACCATCCGATTGAAGACAAGGGATGGAGACTGGATGAACTTCCAAATGGAATAAACGACAGGAATGGATGGAAGAAGCGTGTCATGGAATGCCGAGCTTGCTCGTCTTGATGATGATTTTAGTGAATAAAAATAACACCTACAAACTCAGAAGGCGGCCATATTTAGGTAGACCACAGCACGGAAGAATTGATAGAGGTTAACCAGATAAATGAATTCTACTTTATTGCTTCTACAAGAAAGACTATGTTGTTTGTTCTGAAATTTGTAACTCACCTCCTTCACTTCCGGGAATGTTTCGACCTGTATTCCCTAAGATTTGCACAGATCAAAAACTTAAACACAAAGTGTGTAGGCAAAACCGACTGGCGGAGTGAAAAGCACAAGCCGAAGCCTTAAGCCTATGGGAGACGTGATGCTATTATAAGTGGATCTTGTGTCAGACGAAACTGTTTTTAGTATATATCTATAAATATATGACCTTTTCGCCGTGTCTTTTCATTCCCAACACAATCAGTAAAATTACTTTAGAAATCTTTTGCCTGTTTTTCTTCTCTCCACAAAAGAGTTTCTTGAAAAAAATCCAGAAATAATTTTGCTTTCTTTCAGAAAAAGAAAAATTTAAAACCCAAGGAATCAGTACACAGAGTGCCAATCAAAATTTTTCTTTCTTGATGCTTGAAGCGAAATTTCTAGCAAGTTGACAATACAAGAAAGAATTATTGAAAGCTTCGAATATAGGTTGAGGCTTTGAACGGGATAAAATATTGTGGATGAGCAGAAGAAGAAAGGAAGTTTGTTGAATGAAGGTTCGCAAATGGATTTTGTCTTAAAACGATTTCGCCGAAGAGGAGAAAAAGCGGATTAATTAAATGTATTGCTCAAACGAAAAATGGTTTCAGATTGAAGAACGGCGTGAAAGAAAAGTGGTCTCCAAAAAAATCATGTTTCAAATGGTTGAAAGAAAAATGTTTCTGGGTGTGAAAGAGATCTAAGAAAAGCAGAAGCTGGAGATCTTTTTTTTTCTCTCACTTTGAACAGAAATCACGACAACGAATTTGTTTATAAAGATTACAATAAGAGGAATTTTGAAATACAAAAATTAAAATAAAAAATAAATTTGGTGAGATAATAAATTAAAAAAAGATTATAAAAAAGACTTTCAAATATTCTAAAGAAGAAGTCGACGCCATATTCCACTTCGAGGTGAGACAGGAAGTAACCATGTCATA